TCGGTGCAGGAATATATGGAATATGAGGGGTGCGTATTTTACCGTGAAACTCGCTATGAATAAAATTATAATACAAACCATATTTATAGTCTACCTAACCTATTACATTATTTTTCTTTTACATTCATACTTTTTATTTAACGTTCTGTTTATACAACTGGCTAGTATCCTTTTTTTTTGAGATTTTATGTATTCTTTGGCTTTTGCTTGCGACTTTGTTCGCGTGTAATAATGATTTCTTGCAGAATTTCGGTTCAAAAACTATCCTAGGTCCTTTCTCAAGTTCCAAACTATGTCTGTACCAAATTTCACACAAATAGCTTCAGTAGTTTAGGCGTGAAGAAAAGACAGACAGACAGAGTTACTTTCACATTTATAATATTAGTTTGGATTGTAATCGCAAATTCCCAAGTTGGTTACTTTGTCACTAAGTGTGGGAGAGCCATGCTTCGGCACGAATGGGTCGGCTCGACCGGAGTGATACCACGGCCTCACAGAAAACCGGCGTGAGACAATTACAGCGTTATATTTCGTCGTGTGAGTGAGGTCCTCACCTCATTAAGCTCAATCCTCAAATCCCCTATCCTTTAATCCCTAATAACCCTCAAGAAGTCGACAACGCACTTGTAGTAACTCCCTTAGTATTACCAGTGTCCATGGGCGGCGCTGATTGCTTACCATCAGGTAATCCGTCTGCTCGTTTGCGTCCCTATGACATAAAAAAAGTTAAACCCCTCAATTGGGTAGTTTCCTAGGTCAAAAATAAATTAATTCGACGTTTCAATACAATAAAATGTTGAAAAATAACTGTAAGTACTTTTATTCATCGATCGATCGATACATTGAATTTTAGATATTTTTAGCTATTTTTAAGAAATAAGCACTTAAAGTATTTGACGCAAAAAAAACTATGACGTCAAAAGTATTGAATTTGACTAGTTGGAAACTACCGGATTGACAGTCTACCACCACACTTTTTTTATGATATAAGTCGGCAAACAAGCAGACGGATTACCTGATGGTAAGCAACACCAAAGGAGTTACGAGTGCGTTGCCGGCCATTTGTGGATAGGGGTTGAGGATGTAAGGATCGGGAATTGATGGGGAAGGGGCGGGATTGGGCCTCCGGTAACCTCACTCACACGGCGAAACACAACGCTGGGTTGTTTCACGCCGGTATTCTGTGAAGCCGTGGTATCACTCCGGTCGAGCAATTAGACAATATTTTAAGTGTATTAGTTGAACCATGTTAGCTAAAAGGGTAACAAGAGGGTGGAACACATAAATCAAGTCACTTACTTAACTTAACATCAGTTCTCACTTAACTTATCACTACATAGTATAAAACAAAGTCGCTTTCTCTGTCCCTATATCCCTATGTACGCTTAAATCTTTAAAACTACGCAACGGATTTTGATGCGGTTTTGTTTTAATAGATAGAGTGATTGAAGAGGAGGGTTTACTGTAGGTTTATTGTATAACTAGCGGTTGCCCGCGACTCCAAACGCGTGTATGTAGATTTTACACTTTTTAAATTTTCTCTGGTCTTCCACAAATAATTTCGAGAGGAAAACTTTAGCCAAATCGACGAAGGCATTGTTGAGTTATCATTTCAACGAAAAGTTTCATTGATTTTTATATATATAGAAAACATCAACATTTAATAAATAGTAAAGTAATTTAGTATCAGCACGTCGATTCTATAAAATTTGTTTGATTGTGAATCTTGTTCGAGTGTGAAGTGAGCGTCGAAGTGACGGGGAAATTAAAATTTAGAATGCCACTTTTAACGTCATTTCATACTTTATCTATCAAAATGTTGCTGTCAATTTAGTTCAACTCGCAAGTGTAGCGCTAGTGTACTACTACTCACAGCGGATTCAGATTTGAAGTTTAGAATGAAGTCTTACAGAATCACACTACAGTATTGCACCCGTGGCCTTGAAATTAGGACTTCCATAGACGGCAGGTAAGAATTCGCATCATCCCTGTTTTTTCCGTATGACACAATCGCGGGGAATAAGTAGGCCTTCAATTACATTTTTCTATGTGATAGTTCGGCAAACGAGCAGACGGATTACCTGATGGTAAGCAATCGGCGCCGCCCATGGGCACCTGTTACACCAGAAAACTTATGAATGCGTTGTTGGTCTTTTGGAGTTTAGGGTTTCAGAGATTCCGGGATTAAAGAGCGTTGGGGTTTTGTGATTGGATGAGTGAATGTGTGTTGTTGTATAATTTGTGTGTGTGTTATATGAATGTGTGTGTGTATGTAAATATATGCGTAAGGATGTGTATGGGTTACAATTCCACTAGTTCTTCTGTTTCGTTATATTGTATTTGTTTTAGCTAGCTATTTATTATGGTTTTGAATTTAAATCTTAGGAAACAGGATAAAAACCTAGATTTAGGGACAGTTTTACAAAAAAAAGTTGAAAACACTTCAAACAAAAAACACAATGAATAACCCGAAACGGGAACCAAACTCAACATCTTTTACTTAGTATTAAAAAAAGCCATTTTTCTTCCTCGAAGTCATCTTAGAATCTCTCCGTAACTTATAACCACTTACGGGGTGTGTATTTTAACATTTATATCTTTGTAACACGCTGTATATATTCGGGGCACGTAATTCGCGGCACTATAAAGGGTGGTTATGCACCTGTGTTGTATAGGGTGTTGCTTTTTAATAATATTGTTTTGTCTTGTGTTATGGGAAATTTGTTAGATTAGATCGATGTGTTTCGTGTGCATTTAATATTACTGCACGATAGATAAATGTTGAATGATTAACCTATCTATACTTAATATTATAAAGAGGTAAAATTTGTAAGTTTGTATGTAAGGGGTAATCTTTGGAATCGCTGGTCGGATTGCCAAAATTCTTTCACTGATAGATAGCTACAATGTCCCTGAGGGCTATAGGCTATAAAATATCACGCTACGATGAAATGGAGCCGAGCATCGTGTGAATCCGCGCGAGATTAGCTAGTGTTTTATAATTTTACGTAATACCTTTTTAAGCATGTTTGGAGACCCATAATTACTAAATATATTATAATTAATAAGCTGCCTTAACTATCTTTTAAGCCCTAAACTTATTATACCTTTTTTTACTGTCTGCTTACGAAAGTAATAGGTACACATACTAACAACATTTCACAAAAAAAAAATAAGACACACACAAAAGAGACATCGCAGTATGCACAAAGAAAATGGCAGTATGAATGGTCGGCTCGACTGGAGTTGTACCGGCGTGAAACAACCTCATCGTTAACCTATAAAAATATGTATATTGTGTTTAAAATAAATATAAAAATTCAAAGTCAAAGTCAAAGACAAAATCATTTATTTCAATTAGACCACAGTAGGCACTTTTGAACGTTCAGCAAAAAATGGAAAAAAGTACTTCAAGCGCTTTAACATTAAGCGTGTCAGTTTGTCCTCTAGTGAAGCTATTAACTCGTTCCAAAGCGTATATTCCTATGGAGAAGAACGAGCAAGAAACTTCATGGTTACTCTTTTTCAATCAGTTTTACAATACATTTCTTTGTTACACCATTTAGTTGGTTCAATATAAAATACTTAAATGAAAACGAAACAAATGAAAATAAAATAAAATAAAACAATACCTATAATATTTTCAACGCCCTGTATATGTCGGTGTTGGAGTACGATTCAAAAGACGTTTTACGCGCCGCTTTATTGCTGAAACGTGAGGGAACTCGTGCAAGTATATCATGCTATGTTCCTCATAGAGATCAGTAGAGGTACCTGCATGAATTTTGCTAAGCACTTATAAGATGAATTTTGCTAAGCACTTATAAGAAACTTTTATAAGATAATATTATGAAAAAGTTTAAATTTAATCTTATTTATTTATTCCGAGGACAAAAATGTTAGCAAAAAAATAAAATGTCCCTAATCTCGGTGTGTCTCTTGGCATAGGCCTCTTCTAGCGCTTTCCTCTGTGGTCTGTCCTGGGCTACTCTGGACCATAGGTGGCCAACTGTAAGTTTGATATCATCTGACCATCTCCTTCGCTGTCTCCCTCGGCTTCTTTGGCCATCTCTTGGATTTAAATTAGATCAAATCTAATCAAATCAATTTTAATTGTAAAACGTATTTAGTTTTGCCGCGTAGGCGTACACATTTTTCATATGATAATTAAAATGCAACTAAAAAAGTAAAATTAATTAAAAACAAAATCAAATAAGTACTTTAAAGAAAAACCAAAAAAAACTATGTTTAACAAAAAAAAATAAAAAATTAAGAAAAACAATTATGTAGGTACAATTGTATTAATAAGTCTCAAATCTCTATATTGAACACAAAATAATTATTAAAAATTATCATATATTATGCTTTATGTTAAGAATTTTGGCAATCCGACCAGCGGTTTCAAATATTATCCCCTACATACAAACTTTATAATATTAGTATAGATAGATGAAGGTCACGAAAATGATTAAAATATTTTTTCTCATTTTGCGGGTGACCATGGACAGCCAATTGCTTATTATCAGGTAATACGTTACACGTCTGATCGTTTGCCGACCTCATCATCATTATCATCATCAGCCTATAAGTGCTGACTGCTGAGCAAAGGCCTCTTCTCACACGGAGAAGGTTTGATCATTAATCACCACGCTAACTCAATGCGGGTTGGCGATTTCAAACTTATAATTAGAAATTACAAGTCCAGGTTTCCTCAAGATGTTTACCTTCACCGTATGTCAGTGGTGTCTTAATAATCATAGAAAGTACATATAACTCGGAAAAAGTCACATTGGTACTTGCCAGGTTTAAACTCATGCATGAGAAGCGGGTATTAACCTTCGGGCCACCACGACATACGGTTTTTTTTCCTACGCCGACCTATCATTCAAAAAAGGAACAACAATAAAAAAAATGAAACAAAAACCTCTTGCACGCACGCTGCAGTTGTCTATACAAAGGACTTAAAAGAAGAAGGTTTTACATGAAATAAAAATGACTGATACTGTTTTTTTTTGTAAAAATATTTATTTTTTGTTTTATTTATTTTATGTACATATTAGGTATAACAGTATTTTATTATTAACGAAGAAAAGACTAGGTGTGTTTATTGTGTTGATAGCTGAAAAATTGATTTTTCAGTACACTGAAACTGATTTTCAGGTTTATCCGCGCGAGTATGGGTGCATCGGGTTCGTGGTCAGATGGTAAAGTCCAGTGTTGCTGTAACAAAAAAAAAAGAAATTAGAAAAAAAAACTGCTTACTAATATCTATAGTAGGTACCTATCTATAATATATATAATAATATTACAAATAAGTAATATTTGTAAGTTTGTAACTTTGTGTTTAGGGAGTAGTAATATTTTGAACCGCTGGTCGGATTGCCAAAAATTTTTCACTGATAAATAGCTAAAATATTCCTCAGTACTATAGGCTATAAAACATCATGCTACTATCAAATGAGAACGAGCAGCGGGTGAAACCGTGGGAGAGTAGCTAGTATCTATTATATACAATTCTTTTGTAATAATGTTAGTGTCCTTACTCTCCCGGAACGGCCTAACAGATTTTTTCCAAAATTTTATATGCATATTCAGTAGGTCTGAGAATCGGCCACTGATGGCTATACTTTCACACCCGTATTTTTTTTCGTCAGTGGAAAATCATCCAATGACTTCTCCCGCCCAGGGCCGGGCGGGAGGGAGTGTCAGACTCTTACTGACTAAAAACACCCCCGTTCCTTCTCCTGCTCTGGGCCGAGGTCGCGGTGCCTCATTGCACTTACCCCGCAACCATACTTTCACACCCCTAAAGTGATAATGGTTGGTAAAAAAAACAAGAATTGTTCACTATTGAACAATGATTGCTGACATATTGTTCTTTGTAAATACTTCAAATCTTAAGAATTTGTTTGTTTGAACGTGATAATCTCCAAAATAAGTTGAAAAAGGAGTTTCTTGCTCATTTTTCTGCATCGCACTTTACACTTTGGAACGAGTGAATAGCCTCACTGAGACCGACAGACTGATACTTCTATATTTAAGCTTTATTTGACGTTCAAGAGTTATATAACTTACCCAGTCTTGGGTTGGATGCCACCCATTCTGAGGGTAGATCCTGAGCAGTTGCCAGCGAGAGCAGCGTTTAGGTTGTCGCACCGTCTTCCAGTGAAGCCTCCAGTACGAAGGGACTCAGCCATGTAGTAGTAGGATCTGTAAAATTACGGTTCTTGAGTTATAATGACATCTTTGCAGGCCGCAGGTTGACCCGCCCCGCTCTCATGCATGGAGGTGTGGAAATGGCACGCATGAATCTGACCTTTTCCGAGTTTTATGTGTAGTTTCTATGATTTTTTAGACACCACTGACATGCGGTAGTAAGTTCGAATTCAACTTTTTCCGAGTTATTTAAATGTGCATTAAAGATCATTTGGTAATGCACTGACGGAAAACATCGTGAGGAAACCTGGACTTCTAATCTCTAATTAGAAGTTTGAAATCGCCAATCCGCTTTGAGTAAGCGTGGTGATTAATGCTCAAACCTTCTCCGTGTGAGAAGAGGCCTTTGCTCAACAGTGGGCATTTATAAGCTGATGATGATGACGATGGTCCATCTTTTACAGCAAAAATAAATCATGTTTTACCTGTAATGATGGCATAAGGAGGTCATGCATCCAGGCATCCGGCGTCCCCCATTGGGGTAGAAGTCAACGTCAGCGAGAGGGTTCAGCCAGCCACTGTCTCCTCCATTGGTGTGCATAACTTCAGTGTAAATACCATCGCTGGGCCTGAACAGCCAGGCTGTGTCCCAACGGTCTGCAGGGTCCAAACCTGATGAAGGAGGTGGTTTTTGTAAGAAGAGAGAATTCTAAAATAATTATTATGTTTTCGGCTTACTCACGTAATAATTTGACGAGATACTCGACTAGTTTCAAGCCATGCTAGAGGCCCATATTCATGAGCAGCGTTCCGCGACACGTGTCGCGCTGCTACTCTAGCATGGCTTGAAACTAGTCGAGTATCTCGTCAAATTATAACGTGAGTAAGCCGAAAACATAATAATTAAGAAGAGGGAAGTTAATTTCATATAATTAATTTAACAAAAACGTTGCTTCGGTGTAGGATTTAATCCTATGTCGTGGGTGCGGTTACAAACATACAATTTCACATACACATCACACCCAGACCCGGAACAACGATTTGTGGATCACGCAAAGACTTGTTCCGTGCGGGAATCGAACCCGCGACACGTTTCACAGCAGCCAGTTGCCCAGTCAGTTACCGCGAACTGGGACTGCAGCAGGTAAATTATGTATGGTGTGGTTTTTAGTCAGTAAGAGTCAAACAGTCTCGGTATTTGATCAATGTTGCATATGCCATGCTCTGGCACTTCGATCGGTGCGACCGGAGTAATAGTCAAAAAGAAAACCAGAGTAAAGCAGCTTAAAGCACACTTATGTTGCGTTTCGCTGTATAAGCGAGGTTTCCGGAGGCCCAATCCTTCCCCCCTCCCTATCCTCAATCCTTATTTCCCTAATAACCCACAAGAGGCCGGTAACGCACTTATAGAGAGTGATATCAGATCCTCACAGAAAACCGGCTTGAAAAAACAGCTTTGTGTTTCGCCGTGTGAGTGAGGTTACTTGAGGCTCAATCTCGCCGTCTCCCCATCCCATCCCAATCCTTAAATACCCGAAACCTTTATCCCTAAAAGGCCGGCAACGCACTCTTTACTCCTTTGGTATAACGTGTAGCCATGTGCGGCGCTGATTGCTTACCATCAGGTAATCCGTCTGCTCTATTGAATATAAACTTGCTTACCAGTCACGTATCCAACGTTGCCATTAATGGTTCTGGCGATGATACCAGCTCCGTGGCCTCCAACACTGTAGCCAATCACGTGGTAATCACCAGCTGAAGCGCCAGTGATGGAGTTTAGCCAGTTGACAAATCTACCAGCAGCCTGACCTGTAAACAGATACAAAAACCAATTAAAAAATACAGGCCAATCCTTTCTCCCACCCATCCTCAACCAGAGTTCGGTAACGCACTCCTTTGTATTACTGCGGTGACACTGATTGCTTAACTCCAGGTAATCTGTCTGCTCCAGTGATCAATCTAGTGGTGATACAAAAAAAAATATGACTAGGCAGCGTTAATCAATAATTAAGTGTGGGAGAGCCATGCTTTGGCACAAATGGGTCGGCTCGACCGGAGTGATACCACGGCCTCGCAGAAAACCGGCGTGAAATAACCAAAGAGTTGTATTTCGCCGTGTGAGTGAGGTTACCGGAGGCCCAATCCGTCCCCTTCGCTATCCCTTCCCGCTCCTTATATCCGCAGCCCCTATCCCCAAAAGTTCGGCAACGGATTCGTTTCTTCTCCGTTGTTGCAGATGTCCATGGGCGGCGCCGATTGTTTACCATCAGGTAATCCGTCTGCTCGTTTACCATAAAAAAAGAAACTTACCAGCTTGGATAGCACGCGGTCCCCATGAGGATCCAGCACTCCAGTCCAGAATGATGACGTTAACGTCTGCAGCAGCTAAGAAAGCTGTGAAAAGAAGAAATCCGACATGAGAAACCATGGGCTTGGAATAATACTTAGGGCTGATTTTCCAATGGTCAGATACAAGTTACCTGGGGAATAATTATGATGTTGTCGCGTCACAATGTTTGTATAAGACAGTGACAGCAACAATTTTATTCCTCAGATAACATTCATCTGACTATTGAAAATTTTGCCCTTAACATGAAAAAGAGTAACCATGGAGTTTCTTGCTCGTTCTTCTCCATAGGAATGTATGCTTTGGAACGAGTAAATAGCTTCACTAGAGGACTGACCGATAGACTGACATTTTTTTTGACGTTTAAAAGTGCCTTTTGGAAATAAATGATTTTACTTTTGACTTTATTCATTCTGACACCTTTTAATGATATCTTAGTCAATGAATATTTAGACACCACTGACATACGGTGAAGGAAAACATCGTGAGGAAACTGTTATAATTTCTAATTACAAGATGGAAATCGTCAATCCGTCTTGAGCAAGCGTAGTGTTTAATGCTCAAACCTCCTCCGTGTGAGAAGAGGCCTTTGTTAGGAGTGGGTACTTATAGGCTGATGATGATGCTAATGATAGTTTGGAACTCGAGAAAGGATATAGGATAGTTTTTAGACCAAAAATCTGTAGGAAGTCACTATTCCACGCGAAGGGGCAAAAGCTAGTAGATAAATAAAAATTAAAATGCTGATCATACCTGGTAAACAGATGGTGTTCCACGCGAATAAAGTCGCGGGGAAAAGCTAGTATTATCATATATTACCCACCTGGTAATAGAACTGTGTTAAATCCGGAAGTTATGGAACCAGCGAAGCCGTGCATCATCACAATGGTTCGCCGACGGGGGTTGAAGTTGGAGTTGTGGACTGTAGCAGGGTTGTTCAGGACCAGAGGCTGGCTGATTGAGGGGTTAGACCTGGAAAAGTCAAGGTCAAAGTTATCAGGAAGTAACTATTTATTTATTATATCACTATACTATTTTTTTTGTCAAGTGAATACCATCAAATGACTTCTCCCGCCCAGGATAAGACGAGAGAGTGTGTCAGACTCTTACTGACTAAAAACCCCCTGTTCCTTCTCCTGCTCTGGGGCAAGGTCGCGGTGCCGCATTCCGCTTGCTATACTTACGATTACTTAGAAATAAATTGAAATTAGATAACAAAATTTAAGACAAGCAAATATGTATTAAAATTAAAATATAATTATTTACATTGGTATTTGTCAGGTTTCGAACCCGCACTCTCATTCATGAAAAGCGGGCTCTACAATCTCTGGATCACCACTACGTTTTTTTTTTAATTTTGTGCTTGAATTAACATTCCTAATCCTAACTTATATTATAAATGCGCAATTAACTCTGTCATTCTGTTGGTCTGTCATTTCTTCACGCCTAAACTACAGAACCGATTTCTGTGAAATTTGGTACAGACATAGTTTGGAACTCGATAAAGGACATAGGATAGTTATTATACGAAAAATCTGCAAGAAGTCACTATTCCAAGCGAACGGAGTCGCGGGCAAAATGTAGCGGATAAATTAAAATTAAAATGCTGATCGTACCTGGTAAACAGATGGTATCTGTTGGAAGCGTCAGGGTTGTATCTGGCTAGTCTGTCAAAGTCGCTGATCTTCATCCAGTTGTCCACGAGGTGGACTTTACCGGCATCATCTTCCAAATAGTCATATCGAAGACCTTCAGACCATTTTCCGATCACCGGGTCTTTAGCAGGGTAGGCTGGGAAGAAAAAGAAAACATATTTAAATCCTTCTTCCTAGTAATCTACTTAATATTATTAATGTAATTATACACATATTTATTTAAATAACTCTAGAATTAGGTAGGTACATTTTTTAATTTTAATTCCATAGAAATAAAATCATTTTACATATATGTATATATTAATAAATATTACTATTGTTGGCATAAATAAAATAAATATATAAATTATACATTTCAATCATTCCGTCTATGGAAAACTTCATCAAAATCGATCATGCAGTTTTAAAGATCTAATCAGACATAGGGGCAGACAGCGTAAATTTCTATCAGAAATTAAATCATTCAACCACCAACCTTTTCTAATTCAGGACATTGATTGGTTTTTTTTGTCAGGGGAAAATCATCAAATGACTTTTTCCGCCCAGGGCCGGGCGGGAGGGAGTGTCAGATACTTACTGACTAAATACCCCCCCGTTCCTTCTCCTGTTCTGGGCCGAGGCTGCGGTGCCTCATTGCGCTTACCCCGCAACCCCGGCTGAACATCAGCCCTATAAGGCACCGTCTGTGGTGGTCTATTGGCTCTTTGAGGCGCGCGCGGAACGCTACGCGCCGTACGCTCGGGTGGTAATTGAAGAGTTAAATTGACTAATTAAACTGATTGAGACATCCAAATCCAAACCTCCAAACTAATAAATGCGAAAGTAACTCTGTCTGACTGTCGGTCTGTCTTTTCTTCACGCCTAAACTACGGAACCTATTTCTGTGAAATTTGGTACAGACATAGTTTGGAACTCGAGAAAGGACATAGGATAGTTTTTAAACCAAAATTCTGCAGTAAATCACTATAACACGCGAACAAAGTCGCGGGCAAAAGCTAGCACGTACCTACATATAACGTAACAAAAAAAAACTCAACAGCTTTATAATATTAAGATATATACTAATAAAAGTAAACTATTGTTGTGACGTCATCGCTTTAAAAAAAAAAATACCATATCTCTAATTTAATTTAATAGCAAACAAAAACAATTTTTCCTTGAAAAGTTGCAAACTAACGTACCTACCTAATTAATAATGATAAAAAATATAATTCATTATAATTGCCTAATTATTATAATATAATAATTAATCCCTATTTACACGATAATAAAGCACGTGACTATGTCCTCGTGTCATTTTTTAATTTTATTTTTAATATGTCCTAGGTCGGCAAACGAGCAGACGGATTACCTGATGGTAAGCAATCAGCGCCGCCCATGGACACTCGTTTTACCGAAGGAGTTACTACAAGTGCGTTGCCGGCTTCTTGTGGCTTATTAGGGATTAGAGGATGGACGGGACCTCCGGTAACCTCACTCACATGGCGAACCACAAAGTAAGTGTTGCTTCACGCCGGTTTTCTGTGAGGCCGTGGTATCACTCCGATCGAGCCGACCCATTCGTGCCGAAGCATTGCTCTCTCATACTTTAAAAATACCAGATGTGAAGTGTAATAAGGTGTCGTGGTCTGGGCCTAGAGCAGAAAAACGAATAGGGTGGCTTTTAGTCAGTAAAAGTCTGACTCTCTCTATCGCTTCACCCGAGAGCGGGATAATAACCAAACTTAATATTATAAATGCGAAAGTAACTCTGTCTGTCTGTCCTTTCTTTACGCCTAAACTACTGAACCGATTACTGTGAAATTTGGTACAGACATAGTTTGGAACTCGAGAAAGGACATAGGATAGTTTTTATACCAAAAATCTGCAGGACGTCACTATTCCACGCAAAAGGAGTCGTGGGCTAAAGCTAGTAAAAAATATTTGAGGTCTAATTAGGAATTTCCGACGATCAGACAAATAGAATTTTATCTTGTTATCAAATCATCAAATCACATATTTTTAGAATTCAATTTTTGCTAATTTAGATAACGCTTTATAAATTCAAACTCATTCTATTACGACCAAATACTACTAATATTATTAACGTGAATGTTTTGGCAGAATGTATAGATACATTCTGACAAAACTTGGTGGCCTGGAGGTTAAGGCGCCCGCTTCTCATGCATGCGGGTTCGAAACCTGGCAAGTACCAATGTGACTTATCCCGAGTTATATGTACTTTCTATAATTATTTAGACACCACTGATATACGGTGAAGGTAAACATTGTGAGTAAATCTGGACTTATAATTACTAATTATAAGTTTTAAATCGCCAATCCGCCTTGAGCAAGCGTGGTGATTAGTGCTCAAACCTTCTCCGTGCAAGAAGAGGCCGTTGCTCAGCAGTGGGCACTTATAGGCTGATGATGTGATGTGATGTTGATGTGATAGATACATGTTTGTTATTATTTTGCGCAAAAATTACTAAACCGATTTGGTTGATATTTAGTATTTAGATAGATGATCCGCTGGATTGTTGTCAACATACTACGTGGACGAAGCCGTGGGCGGGAGCTAGTCTATTAAAAAAAAAAATATAAAAACTAAAACGACAAAAAAATCGTTGAATGGTATAGAACAAGATTTTCCTAAATTAATTATTATGTTTTCAGCTTAATCACGTAATAATTTGACGAGACACTCGACTAGTTTCAAGCCATGCTAGAGGCCCATGTTCATGAGCAGCATTCCGCGACACGTGACGCGGCGACTTGGAATTTAGATTTAGATTAGAATGGCTTAAAACTAGTCGAGTATCTCGTCAAATTATTACGTGAGTAAGCCGAAAACATAATAATTAATTTAGAATGTCTCACGAAAGTTATAATAAAAAGATTTTCCTACTTAAGTACCTCTATCAACCTATCTCTAACTTAACATATGTCAATTTTCGAATTCTGATTAGTAGTTTTGAAGTTATGAGTTAACAGATGAACATACATACACAATTATGTACATACGTAGCCTGTCAATCAAAATTATAACACTCCTTTTGCTTTTTTGTAGTCGGTTAAAAATAGGAATACAATTTTTTATTTTTTTTTATGTATAAGTCGACAAACGAGCAGACGGATTACCTGATGGTAAGCAATCGGCGCCGCCCATGGACACCCGCAACACCAAAGGAGTTACGAGTGCGTTGCCGGCCTTTTGGGGATGTGGGTTGCGGATATAATGATTGGGAAGGGATAGGGGAAGGGGAGGGATTGGGCCTCTGGTAACCTCACTCACACGGCGAACACTACGCTGTGGTTGTATCACTCCGGTCGAGCCGACCCATTCGTGCCGAAGCATGGCTCTCCCACACTTGATATCTTCAATAGGTAGATTGAATGACAATTGATGCTAAGATGTATGACGTCACTTTAAATAAATAACAATGTTGCAAAAGAGATTAGCTAAGAGAAATTTCAAGCTGGTTCTTGAGCTGTTGAGTTTTTAATTTACTAGCATTTGCCCTAGACTCCGTTCGCGTGGAATAAGCACGGAATAAGTATAAAAACTATCCTATGTCCTCTCTCGAGTTCCAAACTATGTCTGTACCAACATAGAATTTTTTTTTTTTAGGCGGCCGTTTTTTAGTTTAGGCGTGAAGAAAAGACAGAAAGACAGACAGAGTTACTTTCGACAGGAAAATTTTAACCAAAATCTGCAGGAAGTCACTATTGCACGCGAACGGAGTCGCAGGCAAAAGCTAGCATTTCATAAATAGTCAATATTTTTTTCCAAACTACAAACTTTTGACTGTCTGTGAGCTTACAAATCACTCTCAATAATCACTACATAGTATAAAACAAAGTCGCTTTCTCTACCTATATCCCTATGTACGCTTAAATCTTTAAAACTACGCAACGGATTTTGATGCGGTTTTTTTAATAGATAGAGTGTTTGAAGAGGAAGGTTTATATGTATAATAACATTTATTAAATAGTGGGGGGATTGAGTATCAGTACTGTACTCGTGTGAAGTCAGGGTGAGCTAAATTTTTATTAAAGAATTAATAATAAACTCACCAGAAACCACCGCTGCACTTATAACTAAAACAGCTGCTACCCACGACACCATTGTTGCAGTTTTGTGATTAAAACTTAAGAAACAAGCGAATTTATGTAATCTCATATCTCTTTACAGATAAATTTATAATTTGAAAGTCATTTATTTGGCTTAGGTATCGATGCGTTTGTATATATGTATTTGGTGTACTAATAATGTTTTGGCGATTTGTCTGTTTATTATCGATTAGATAATTCGTAAGTCGGCCTTTTTTTGTCAGGAGAAAATCATCAAATGACTTCTCACGCCCAGGGTAAGGCAAGAGACTGTCAGACTCTTACTGACTAAAAACCCCCCGTTCTTTCTCCTTCTCTGGGCCGAGGCCGCGGTGACTCACTGCGGTTCACCCGCTACGCCGGCTAAACATCAGCCCTATAGGGCCCCGTCTGTGGTGGCCCTTGGTGTGGAGTTGCATCGGTTTTGTCCCAAAAAAAACCTTTTAGGTATTAGGAATTTTGAGATTTAGGAACATCCCCAATCCCTGCCCAGGGATTGGGGAAGGGGAAGGATTGGGCCTCCGATAACCTCACTCACACGGCGAAACACAACGCTGTGGTTGTTTCACGCTGGTTTTCTGTGAGGCCATGGTATCACTCCGGTCGAGCCGACCCATTCGTGCCGAAGCTTGGCTCTCCCACACTTAAACACATGTTATTTAATCCGGACTTTTAAGTTTACGTTTGCAGAATTTGAAAGCGCGAATTCGGTTCAGTAGTTACGACGTGAAAGTGGAACAAACAAACAAACAATTTTTTTCCCATTCATAATATTAGTAAATACTAGCTATTCTCGCGCGGTTTCACCCGCTGCTCCACCACTCGCCCCTAAAATTTTTGAAAGTTTCCCTCAATTTCTCTGGTCGTAATAATGAAATCAGGATCTGATGATGGAATCATCAGATCCTGATTTCATTATCATGGGACCATTCTGAGACTATCTCCTTTCCAACAAAAAAAAAAGAATTATCAAAATCGGTTCATAAATAGCGGAGATATCGGCGAACAAACATAAAAAAGCATATATACGGTCGAATTGAGAACCATCCTCCTTTTTGGAAGTCGGTTAATAAAATATAATGTACTAGCTACTCTCGCGCGGTTTCTCCCGCTGCTCGGCTCCCTTTAATCGTAGCGTGATGTTTTATAACCTATAGCACTCAGGAACATTGTAGCTATATACCAGTGAAAGAATTTTGGCAATCCGACAATCGGTTCCAAAGATTACCCCCTACATACAAACTTACAAAATTTACCTCTTTATAATATTAGTATAGATAGATTACTAGGAATATGTTTTTGTTGTATATCGGTTTATAGAAAAGGGCTGCGTTATCGGAATCGGTCGATTAAATAAGGAACAATTATTAAAACAATATTAACCTACACTACAATCGTTAGGTACCTATTTAAAAGCGTATAGTTTCAAAACAATATTGTTATGACGCCTTTAATACTTCAAATAATATCCTGTTTAAGTTATTTTTATTTCTGGAAAACCCTACGAAAAATCAATTTCTTTTTCACTATGTTTTAATATAATTGAGTGTGGGAGAGCCATGCTTCGGCACGAATGGGTCGGCTCGACTGGAGTGATACCACGGCCCCACAGAAAACCGGCGTGAAACAACCACAGCGTTTTGTTTCGCCGTGTGATTGAGGTTACTGGAGGCCCAATCCTTCCCCGCCCTAATCCCTAACACCCGGTTTCTGAAAGGCTTGTCAACGCTAAAATTAACTAATCTCCTGTTAAATCTCTTGTCAAGTCATCTGATTGGTTGTTGATAATTCAGTCAACCAATCAGTTGACTTGACAAGAGATTAAATTGATTTTAACATTGATCGGCTTTTCGAGCGGGGTTCAATCTCCCAAATACCTAATCCCCAAAAGGTCGGCAACGCATTCGCAAAATTTTGCTCATAGTGCCGAGGTCTGTGTAATGCTAGGTACATAATAAAAAAATCCAAACTTAGGTTTAAAGGATTAAATGATAATAATTAGTCATTAGACTATATCTAATTTTAATTAGTTTGCGTGCAAGATTGACGAGATAGCAAATTGATTGTGAAGATTTTAGGCACACTTATTGCCAAACGATTAATGTGACTATAAGGTGAGGAAGAGCTATAATTTTTTTTTTTGTATTTATTGTAGGCTAGCCAACAATTGTTTACACTAAAAGAACATTGTAGATATAAACGAAAAATACATTTGCGAGCATCGATCACTAATAAAGAACTAGATACACAATCCCATACAAAAGTTCGCTTCAAAACTGTCGCCAACTGTATTTAGGTACTTATACTTGAAATAAACATGCATTAATGTAAATTAAACCTTAAACGCAACTCATAGAGTTGTTTTTACAAAGTGATGTACAAAATCTTAACATTTTTTGCGACCGAAGCTCTTGACAAACATAAATCATAAGAAATTGAACCATATTCGCATGTCTTTATTAGTGGTTCTTTATTAGTGATCGATGTTTGCGAGTGTAACAATCACTTAAAGGGTAACACCGCATGCACAATAAAGGCTCGAATTAAACGTAAATAATAAATTATGACAAATATTTAGGTCATTAATAAAATATTTAGGTCATAAGAATAGATTAGTCATATAACATTGGAATAAAAAATAATAATAATAATAACATTTTGATATTATTTTAAATTACTACAAAAAAAAACTAACTTAGGCGAATACGGATGGGACCGAAGTGAAAACGAGGCCTCACAGAAAACCGGCGTGAAACGACCCGTCTTGTGAGTGTGATTACCGGAGGCCCAATTTCTCTTCCTCTAAAGGAAAACACTAACCCTTAAAAGGCCTTAAAAGGCGTTCACTCGTAACTTCACTGGTGTTTCAGTTGTCTAAAGATGGCGGCCATTGCTTTACAACAGGCAATCCATTCGCTTGTTTGCAGCCTCTCATATGAAAAGAAGTGAATATTTTTTACTACAACCGTTCAAGCTATACGTGTGAGAGAGCCAAGCTTCGGCACGAATGGGTCGGCTCGACCGGAGTGATACCACGGCCTCACAGAATACCGGCGTGAAACAACCCACAGCGTTGTGTTTCGCCATGTGAGTGAGGTTACCGGAGGCCCAATCCCTCCCCTTCCCCTATCCCTTCCCAATCCTTATATCCGCAACCCCCATCCCCAAAAGGCCGGCAACGCACTCGTAACTCCTTTGGTGTTGCGGGTGTCCATGGGCGGCGCCGATTGCTTACCATCAGGTAATCCGTCTGCTCGTTTGCCGACTTACACCATAACAAAAAAAGCTGTGTCCGGCTAGACCCCTCATAATCTATCAAAACTCTCCAGTCAGAGTCAGAGTCTGTTTGGTTGTTTGAAAGCGCTAATATCAGGAACTACTAATTCGAATTCAAAACATCTTTTTGTGTTTATTGATGACTAGCTTCCGCCAGCGGCTTCGCCCGCGTACTGTCTTGATAAAAAGCAGCTTATATATAACAATAGAACAAAATCGAAGTATACATAAAATTTGTTATTAATCGTCTCATTTTTATGGGTACATCTCCAATGGGTAAATACCCTATTACTTACTAAGTCTCCGCTATCCGTCCGTCCATAGATAGAATGGTACGGATCTAACTAATAGGTAAGAATATTTTCGTCATACATAATTTTTATGTAACTTTAACCATTAAAGCTACACACGCGACTGAAACTTAAAAAAGGGAGTAACTTCTCCCGTTTTCCCAACATTTCCCTTCACTGCTCTGCTCCTATTATTTGTAGCGTGATGAAAAGTATCCTATAACCTGCCCAGGAGTATAAAGAATAATTGTACCAAGTTTTGTTAAAATCCGTCGAGTAGTTTTTGTTTCTATAAGGAACACACACACAGACAGACAGACAGACAGACAAAAATTTACTGATTGCATTTTTGGCATCAGTACCGATCACTAATCATTCACTGATAGTTATTTTGAAAATATATTTCATGTACAGAATTGATCTCTCTACAGATTTATTATAAGTATAGATTATAAAACACCAAGTTCCGATCTGTAGAAGCCGAACAGCGGGTTACTGGGCGAGAGTAGCTAGTGTTGACTATTTTGTTCTTGCGGTAAGCAGTGATGCGACCTACGATGGAGTACGCCTACTCATAAATAACTTATTCACCACAGCCTTGAAGATACCAAGATCCAGGGGTGTGATTCTGTAAGACTTCATTCTAAACTTCGAATCTGAATCCGCTGTGAGTAGTAGTACACTAGCGCTACACTTGCGAGTTGAACTAAATTGACAGCATCATTTTGATAGATAAAGTATGAGATGACGTTAAAATTGGCATTCTAAAATTTTATTACCTCGTTACTTCGACACTCACTTCGCACTCGAACAAGATTCAAAATCAAACAAATTTTTATAGAATCGACGTGCAGATACCCTTAGAGAAACACAGACTCGCCAAAAATTGTATCGGATATCCCACCAACACCTAAGTCAATAATCATTTATTTCAAATTAAAATTTCATGTTTTGAACGTCAAACAAAATTTAGAGATACAAAGTGTCAGTCTGTCGGTCAGTCCTTTTAGTGAAGCTATTTACTCGTTCCAAAGTGTAGATTCCGATGGAGAAGAACGAGCAAGAAACTCTATGGTTACTCTTTTTAAATCAGTTTTATGGACGAACGAAACGGTTCGCCTAGTAGTTTTATAATCAGAACCGCTAAGGAATGGAATTCTTTGCCGGAGTCTGTGTTCCCCGAAGGGTATAACCTGAGTGTCTTCAAGGCCCGAGTGAATAGGTTGCTTATGGGTAGGCGTGCTCCATTGTAGGTCGCAGTACAAATAACCACAAGGCGTGACAAAAAAAAATGTATTTATGAGAAAAAAACTTCCTTTCCGTTTTAGAACGCAGAGAACGCAATGCAGCGATTGTCGAACTCTGAGCATTAAAAATATTAATTTTACCACATAGGGCAGATTTTTCAATGGTTAGATAAAAGTTTATTTATTTATTTATTTATTTAATATCTTTATGCACAAAACAAATGTACAAAGGTGGGCTTAATGCCATGGGCATTCTCTGACACCCAAACATTTGGATGATGCAGAGATAAATATAAAGGTGCACAAAACAAGCATCATCAGAGA